TCCCCGCATTCCGCAGTCCCCGGGGGCCCAGCCAGAGGCGTCCCCGTGACACACAAGAGGAAAGTATTCCCGGGACCTGAGCCTGGGGTGGCGGAGCAAAGACCGCCCCGGAGCAGGTGCCAGAGGGGCTGGCTTCAGCCTTCTGGTCCTTCCTCGGGTTTTCTCGGTAGTTCATCTACCGGGGAAGGGGTCCCTGTCCCCTGCTGAGCAGCACGCGCCGGGGTCTCTTTTGCCGCCCAGGGCACAGTTGGCGCTCAGCAGGCTCTGGCGGAGTGAAAGCGAGGAGTAGGGCAGCGAGGGCTTCTGGAAAGAGCGCGGCCCCGCGGGTTTCCCCCGGTCTCTAGCCTTCTCGCGCCCTCCAGGCTCTGGGTATTTCTGTGCATGAGTTTGAAAATGCACGGTGTTTCTTTTAGGCTCCCGCAGCACTCTCTGCGGCTCCCTCTGCCCTCCCGCCACACTCACGTCTGCAGAGGGATCTTCGCCGAAAAGTTGAGCCCACGGCTGCGGTGCAAGTGCAGGTCCCGCGCGCCGCCGGGGATCGGGGCTGCCGGTGTGAAATCAGCCTCCTTTTGCCCAGCGAACCCCGACACCAATAAATGGGGGAGGAGGGCCCCGCAGATGCAACTCCCGCGTCCCCCAGGAGCCTCGGAAGGTGCGCCCTCGTTCCCAGACCTGCCCCCAGTACACCGGGGTTCCTCCAACTGTTTTACGTCCGACTTACAGACTCCTTCCCACTAGCCTCCCCGAGCCCCTGCAGCAGCTTTCCTCTGGCCAGGCGAGACAAAGTTGCTCCTCCGCCAGGCTGGAAAAGTTCCCCGGGCTGCAGCGCCCGACCTCCGGGTCCGGAAGACAAATCCAGCGGAAAGCGAAGTCTCGCCACCGCCGCCTTCAGGGACCACTCACTCACCGCTCCAGCTGCCAGGGATCTCCAGCCCCAAGCAGAGTCAGCCTCGGGGCACCGCTCTGCCTGGCTTCCCGGGGCCGCCTCCGTGTGCCACTCTCGACTGTTTCGGGAGGAGTGGTGACTCCTCTGAGCGAGTCAGCGGCAAGAGGAGGGGCGGCAAAGTGGCTCTGGGCTTGCACGCTGCGGTCCTCCGCCTCCGCCTCCGCCTGCCTCCTCCCCCCAGTGCTGCAGTGCCGGGCGCGGCGTGGCGAGAGTACACGCGCTGCGCAGGAGGGAGTCAGCGCGCGGGGGAGGAGGGCGGTGCGCCGGCCCGGGTTCTGGGGGTGCGGGCGGACTGGTGTGGGGTGGAGGGGCCACCTCCAGGAGGCTGTACTTTGGGGGAAGTCAGGGCTCTAAGTTTGTAGCTGGGGTAAGAAGAGGGGCAGCGGTCCTTAGTCATTGAGTGTGGCTGTCGTGGCTCGAGGAATGGCCCAGCAGGCACAAGGGAATTTTGCTCCCTGGACTGACTTGTTGACTTTGCCTTGGTTTTCAGGAAGTCACCAGGGAGAATCAGGTTGATCCTTTCCCCAACTCCATTCTGCACGCAGGCATCAAAGTGGAAATTTAGGGCTCCGAAGGAGTAGGAAACTTCACTGGGTGTCTGGGTCTGCCCAATAGCAGGTAGGGCTAGGCAGCTGGATTTACTGGCAGGCATTGAAAATGAGCCCTTGGGAGGAAACCACGGGGCGGGGGAGCCACGAGAACCGTGCTTGTGTCCTCAGGAACAGCTTTCCTCTGACGTGCCAGGGACCCAGCTTGAGCCTCACTGTTCCACGGCGCCGGGCTTGACGACTGGAACTCCTCCGCCCAAGGCCACACCCAAGCCTGGCGCGGGCCTGGAGGGTGTCGCTTTATCCCGAGGCCGAGCTCCTGAGGACCCGCCACCCAAACGCTGGGGGAATGGGCATCCGTAGGGCTCTAACCCTGCCGGCTCCTGGAGCACAGGGAGCCCGTGTTGTGTGGGAGGGGGCCGCACAGGCGTGTGCCTTCTCCGCAGTCATTACTCTGGGGGTTGTGGAGGCCCTAGTGAGACAAAGCGGAGCGCCGCGGTAGGCTGCAGTGACTGGAACTCACACACACCATCTCTCGGCCGCTGCATTTCATCTGTGTTAGTGTGTCTAGATGAGTGAATGGACTGCTGCGTGGACGTGAATGGAAGCGTTCCCTGTAAGTGTGCCGGAGGAGGAGAGCTACTTGGCTCCTCCAGGCTGGATCCTCCTACCCAGACGGTGTGGTCCGCCCAAGACTGAGCAGTGCTGTGGTTCCAGCTTTCGGCTGGGTTTGTGCCACCACGCAGAATACTGTGAGGAGAAGAAAATGGAAACAGCCCTTAGCCTCTCGCCTTCCCTCCTGGGCGAGGCAGTTCAGGCTCTCTGGGACCGTCAGGATCCTGTTGCGCCTACCCTTCTAGCTGGTCTAAGAAAGCCTGCCTGGCTCTTGTTTGGTAGAAGGCTCTGTAGCTTTCCACCGTGTATACGAGATGGTCCAGCCCTGTGAAAATTAGTGAATGTACTCACTTCCGGGACTCGTCCTCATGTGGAATCTTATGTAATACACTAAATAATTATTTAAGCTCTGATAATTGTGTTATGATGCTGGTAAGGAATATATGCCCCATATACCAGAGAATGCAGCAATGGAAATACAATAAAAGTTTCAAAAAATCATAAACTTTATTGGGAGTTCCCACAAATTAATATATAATATTTTGAGCTCCCTACTGCAAAATGTGCTGGTAATTTATTCAGGTCCTAAATGGATACACTTTCAAGCATCTGCCCTCCCAAATGTCACAGAATAATACACTACTTCTTCAGATGACAAATTTAGAAACCCATGAAACAAAACTTTAAAATGATCAACGTGGTCTCACTGCACTGACTCTTCCTTAAATCACTCTCCTGTGCTATGAAAGATATGTGCTATGAAAAAAGTGTGCATGTTTTTCAAGCCCTGGATTTTCATGTTTTGATACATTTGAAGATAGTAGCCCACCCAAACAGAGATCCCTCCTTATATGTTTGCAGGAAGTGTCTCATTTAAGATCAAGTTGAGTTGGAAAACAGTATTTGCCGTTGTGTCTTTGGAACACAGAACATATTTTTTCATAATGATTAATAACCTTGCCTTTCAAAGTGACACCGAGTCTAAGTCCTGCCTGGTACACGCTTTAGCCCTAGCCCTTGTTGGCCTAGCAAGCAGGCTACTCTTATTCACACCTTTGTTGTAAAGAAACATTTTTTCTCTCTAAAAATACTTGTCTTGTAGGAGCTGACCAGGGTGAAGATGTCCTGTCCTCAGACATCTCAGTTCTCTATAACTGTTACCTTCATGTGACTCAAGAATTTCATTGCTTAATGCAGGGTCTTTTCGTAGTGCTAGAAAGCCAGCCATCTAAGGAGCATCAGAGATCATTATTACATGTGCAAAGAGATCTTGTGAAAAATCACTTTACAGGGTCAGAGATTTAGCTCAGCAGTTCCACCACCTGCCCCTCAAACACAAGGTCCCAAGTTCGATCCCCGGTACCAAATAATAACAATAATTTTCACTAAGTACAGATGCTGTAGCAGTATACACAAGCACAGTGCTAAGTATACAGTGGGCATACAGTAACTACTTCCCCCTTTAATAGGCAAAGAAACATTTCCCCCAAAATGATGGCTGTTTTTTTCTTCCCAGGACTTGTTTATGGCATGGTGTCTATGGGTAGGGAGGTAGTATCCTTCTGCTGCTTCCAGAACATACTTCATCCTTTCTCCTTAGAACCTACAGCTCTGACTCTTACTCCGTCATCAAGTTATTTCACCTGTTATCCTGAGCAGCAGCCACACTCATACCTCCAGGTCACCCTACACCTTTTTAGATGATTTTAGCTCCTGACTAAAACATTACTTCCTGAGCACTAACCTTGCCTTAACCTTTAACAATTTACTATTCACGAAAGTAAATTCATTTCCACCAATACTACCTTTAGATTTGGTTTAAAAAAAAAAAAAAGAAAGGAGACTTGTCCTCCTGCCTCGTGCTTTAGACTGCCTCCCTTCAGAAAATTTCAAGTCTCCTTCTGGTGGCCATGTCTATCAGTGGGATACTTAAGCCCAGACCCAGATGCACTTAAGCCCCCTCCTTGATTCTCCCCTTCAGCCTCCCCCATCTCCAAATTATTGTAATATTGGCCAAATTCTCCAAGGAGCTCCTCCACTCTGGTAATTGTTCAGGAAAGGCAGCTTGACAAATGGATTCCTCTGACAGCTTTCTTTCACTGTAACAAAATACTTGATGTAATCAACTTGTAAAGATAAGATGTTTATTTTGACTTACCCTTTTTTGAGTTCCAAGCTATATTCAATTGATCCTGTTGCTTTGGGCCTATGGCAAGGCAGCACATTGTGGAAGGAGCACATATTTGAATAAAACCCTTCTCATTACGAGCTAGCAAGCCTAAAGGAAATGAGAAAGAGTCTAGAGTCTCAGGATCCCATTTAGGATGCACCCTCAGTGACCTACAGACCCCCCACTAGACCTTATCTCTTTGGGTTCCACCACCTTTCACTGGTGTCACCCTCAAGACCAAATCTTTGAGAGTCATTCAAGATCCAAACTATAGTACCACACAGAAGTTTATACCACCAGTGTAAGAGAAATCAGAATGTGATCCTCTCTATCATTACCATCGTAGAGGACAGTGGAAAATGTATCCTTAATTCAGCGAGAAAGAGAACGTGAGGATGGAGTAAGAGTTAGACACACTTACCAGAGAAATGCAGTTGTAGAGATGTGAACCTTTAGTCTCATTACATGAGTTCTGTTTAATAATGGGCTAGTGTTTTCTCAAGGCTCTCATAGTAGGAAATGTCAATCCCTTCTGGTGGGCCCTCCTTCAACTTAGGCTTCTAAAAATTCCCACAAATAAGTTTTTTTTGTTGTTGTTTTCCTCATTGAGTTTATTGGTACATTTTTGGTGTACAGTACAGTTATATTCACCATTGGGATCTTGTACCTTTACACGACAGGTCTTGGTTCTCATTTTTTCCCCTTGTCCCTTCCCACTTCACCTCCTCCTCCCCTCCCTATTGACAAAAACTTTATTTCCATTTTTTCATTTTCTCATATTTTTTTCTTTTCCCTTATTTCCTTTCCCCTACTCTTTCCACTTCCCCTACACTTTCAGCCCATTTCTTCCTATTTCACATCCTACAAATAAGTTTTTAGTGAAAGTTAAAAATTAATGAAGTACACACAGTACCTGGGCACCATGAAGAAACACCAGTAGGAATAACAGAAAATACTTTAGATGTTGGAATTATTGGCAATAATTCTTATTTTATTTGAAGAAAAATATAAGACAAGTTTAAAATTATTTGCAAGAAGTAGGAAGCAACAAGGATTGACTAATCCTATTTGAAAAGGCACCCAATCTATCTTGTGTCCACCTCTGTTGGTTGCCTCTCCAGCATCCAATCCAACTTGTACACACTTACACAGGCCCACACTTTACTTCTTCCTGAGAGAACTCTAATTTCATCCAGTGACCCATTAGTTTTAAAAAGTTTTCACGTATACCTAACAATACAGTTTTGTACAAATACTTGGATCACTTTTCTTCCTATTTCACAGGATGGCTTGAAACAATATGGACCTTCAGTTAGTGCTCAGAACCATGGCCTAGCCAAAGATAACTCTACACTTGATCTTAGCCAAAAGGCTGAGAAGCAATAGCCAAAGGTAACTAAATAATTGCATTACTATTTGTTTAAAGCTTCAATGGCAATAATCAGGGAAGGAGTAGGTAAGTTATTTTATATAAACTGATTAAAAATAAACATAAAAATGGTAGATAGATGTTATCTGGTCTCATGTTCCCTGATGAAGGTGATTTCTGACTTGGAAGGGTGATTGATACACCCAAATAATCTCCTGTCTGGAGCTCCTGTGGCTACAGAGGCATTAATCATCAATTCCCTTCCTATCAGACATGGTATTGCCAATTTCTTTTATTTGATAGAAAGGTCTTTTAAGATCTATAAAAACAACT